ACTAACTTTGCTCCGAAGTAGTGAAAACTAATGTATCCATCAACACTAGGATTTCCAATTTTTAAATTCCAAAAAAATTTCGTCATAAAGTATTTTACGTCACAGTACTTACATCTATTTACAAAGCTAATTGAAGAAAGACGCTTTCAAAAAATCTAACCAACAAGCAATTTTATTTTCAATGAACATCAAAAGTAAGAAAACGAATGAAGTACACACAATAAACCTATCGTGTTACCATTAATCCAAGCATTTTATGAAAAGTTTCCACGTTAAGATCCACAACAGCTTCATAGTTCTCATAATAAAATCCAGGCTTATACAGTCTCTGTGCTGAAAAAAAAAGCTGACGTTATAAAACAACTGTCTAGCCATCATATCCTACTGCAATGCATTAAATAAAGTACTCTAAAGTGACTAAAAAGAGGCATTCATTAGAAAATCTAAATCTTTACCATGCTCAACCCAAACTATATTTTTTATGTCGTCTTTTTTATTACTAAGATCCAGTGTATTTAACTGGAACACCACAAAATCCATCATGCCTTTAACCAATTGAACTGCACGAGTAACAACTGGTTTTTCCAACACTCCAGCTTTCACGTTACCCATACGTTTAGCTTCCGCTACGGCAGCACCAAAACAATACATAATAGCGTTTGCAGCATTCTGTTCTCTTAAAATGTTCTGTAACTTCTGGTAACAAGAAAAAACATGAGTCAACAAGATTATATGCATATCAAATTTTTCTCTGACTACTGGCAAGTAAAATTCAAGGTTATTTTTTCTCCTACATTTCTAAAAAAATACAGGACATAGGAATAGGCAAAAAACTACAGCTCCAACCTAGTCCATGGGTATTTTTGATCTTGTTCTCGAGTCCACATAATAGTATCCAAATGAAGAGGAAAACTAATACGAGGTAATTCTGTAATGCCGCTGTAAACATGCTCTGGCACTAAGTCAATTTTCGGATCTATTGGATTGACATCCGGAACATCCTCTTTCCTAAAATCTCAATCCTTTAAAACTGGCGACAAGTCTGCGCATCAAAAAAGTACGTTAAAACTTACGTTACGACCTTGTTCTGCTCTTTCATCAATTTTTTAATGAAATTACCTTGTTTCTTCAATTGCCTCAGGATTAGCCCACGGATTAATTAAAGAAGGAGACTGCACCACAATATGTGGTTTAGTTCTTAAAACGAAAGGATTCTTTTCGCACCCAACAATTAGTTCGCAATTCAGTGTTCCGTCAAGATCATGTCTAAGAAAATAAAATTTCTCTAAGGCCATTTCGATAACTGGTCCGCAAAATAATTTTGCAAAGAAATGTAAAAGTTAAAAAAAAACCTTAATTCACTTAGCTGATCCGCTTGAGATGCAAGTGATACAATATGTCGGTAAAGATTTTCCAAAATAATATTGCTGAAAAAAATTTCCAAGGAAAGAGTTTCAAATTTTTTCCATATGGGCAACCGACGACAGAAGTATCCTAAAAGAAATGATGCAAACCCTTTTTTAATGGCAGGAGTTCCGTGTTTCCTGGGGTACACAGCCCAGAACAAAATCGGGTCAAATCGTCTTGGCAGTTTTTCCAGAGTTGGGTCATACCGCTCTCCACGCATAATCAGCTCAGACAGCTTTTCTTTGATATCATTTGTTTTAACAATTTTCATTGCCTAAATAAAACTGAAAAGAATGTGCTCTCTGAGAAATTGTACAAAACAATCAAACTTATCTTACGTTCTGTAAAACAACCGGTAGGAAATGAGTTCGTTTTACAGCCTTACTCAACGCACATGCTTGGTCAATGCCATCGGTGAAAGGAATGGTGCCATTAAACATGTTACACTTGATAGTTTTAAAAAACGAACTCTCCTAAACAACTTTAAATAATGATAATAAAGTGAAATTCCCGGGTATGACAACCTCGCAAACTTTATCCAAAAGCTACTGCGAAAGAAGTATACTGGAACCCTTTGCCAAAAACTTGAAAATGTCCCTAAAAAAGAGAATTACTTCAACAGAAGGAGTTCTAAAAGCTGGATGATCAAGAACTGTGTCAAACTTTTGCCTCGGTTTTGGAAAGTCGACATCGTTAGGATCATAAATCACAGCTCCAATTTTCTAAAAAAAAAATCCAATTAGTAGCGTTTTACCATCAGAAGCAAAGCAGATCTAATGGCAAGAATAATAATAGCCAAATTTGCGAAACACAAACAGCAGAGAACAATAACGTCATTTACAGACCTCCACTCCACAAATTTATTACCATAAATGACATTTAAAGTATGGATAATTTTTAATAAAATGCTCCCCCAACAACTTTTCCGATTATTTTATTTGAAACAGAATTACCTGAAGCACATCCGGAACCCTAAACACTGGCATACGCTCCTTCAGTTTATTCGCGTAAACACTTTTAAAATATCGAGTGTTTGCCCTACCCCATTGTTTAGCAGGCCTGAATTTTTGGTACGGCATGCTGGAACTGGAATTTCTTTCAAGTGATTCTGCTGTTCGCAAACTAATCTGATATCTGCGGGAAAAAACTTCACTTACTATCGGCATTAATTATCATATAAAACAGGAAAAACTTGTACTACTCGGCTTAGCGACTGAAAATGAACTTCGACAAAACAAAAAAGGCTTCCAGAGTCACAAAAATCGGAAACATTGAAAAAGCAAAAGTGTTAAAAATTCCTCTCCAACCCAAATTCTGGAAAATTACCCATTCTAACAGCTAAATAGTACATCTAACTAAAAAATAAGGAGCATAAGTAGCTAAATAAGATTTCAAAAACGACTTCTGGGAAAAACAATAAATTGAATAGGAACACTAGTTTTATTGCGTTCGACAACGGTTTTAAAAACCGTCT